TTTAATCACATATTTTATGAAAAATGTACTTTCAAAAATTGACGTTTAGTCAAATCAAATAGGGACTTAATAGACTTTTTTTCTTCGTTGACTTGGTGAACTTTATAAGAAAAAAGTTTGATCTGATTTTGCTTCACGCAAAGTTGAAAATGATATTTAGAGAATTTACGTTAACTAGTTACTACAGTTTCATAAATGACTAAATCAAACAAATTAAAAGTTTAGTTTATTTCGATTTTCGATTCTGAATTTTAGTATCAAGAACCGGATTGAATCGACCGATGATTAATTTTAGTACTTGAATTCGTTTAAAATTTAAGTAGAATTCGACATAACCTAAATATAAGGGCAGGCATGTAAATCTGAAGACGACAAAGATCTTCCATTAGGAGAGAGGTCCCCATTACTAGTGTGTGAGACTTAAAACCCTACCTTCACGCATCACACGCGCTGGAAAAGGAACGTGGTTATTTATATCTTGGCGTAGAATGGACGAACAACTCGGACAAGTGACTTTGCTCAAGTCATGATGGAGATTCGGCTTCTGTTACGGCTTAGCAGCCCTAAGCCGTAATTCAATGGGACCGGCGGCTTACGGTAGGTAAGTTTGCACCCGCAGTTTTTTCCGGTTTATGGTGCATTAGGTTTTTCTGCATATAAGTTCCTCTTTTAGGCAATCTCCGGTTTACTTCCTATTTATACCTAAACATGATAATACTTGAGAAACTTATTACTTACATGTATTGTGTATTTGTTAATTTTAAATTCAATGTGATATATCCAGATTAAGGTCGAGATTGAGATCGATATTCACCTCGTCGACATATGTGTGTCTACAATGCATAATTATTTTGTAGTTGATTTGAGATCTCACCTCTTCGATGTTATTTCGAATTAAGCTTGAGGTGAATTCAATTACCTACCATCAAAATGTCGATAAAATAGTTTCACTGCGATATAAGACATTGACTTAAGGTAAAAATATGATTAATGTAAACAACAATAAGACAACCAACATTTCACGCAATGTCAGGTTGTGAACTAGTTAGAAATCTTGATAAGACAACCATAATTCAAGAATTATGTAAGTCTCTAAGTAAATAAGACATGTCTATTGCAACTAAATTAACGACAAACACACACACAAAAGCTTCGAGAGACCATCTCTGGAAATCTCATCCTACAAATTTTTTCAAGCTTAACATTAATGGGGGAGTCTTTTTTTATTATAAAAAATCCGATTCGTGTGCTATACTCAGGAATGCTGATGGGGATGTAGTTATGGCTTTAAGTAAAGAAGAGAACGAAGCTTTTGAAGTCGAAGATGTGGAAGAAATGGCACTGTTGAGAGGCCTACAGTTCACCTCAAACCTTGGTATACAGAATTTAATCATCAATAGTGACAATCTATTGCTAGTTGAAGAAGTTAATATTGCTGATGAGTCAAATGCCATGTATAGAAACATTATTGCCGAAGCCAAGCGTCTTATGAACACCTTTCCTATATGCATCCTGGAACACTACAGCAGACTCACAAATGGTGCGGCACATAGACTTGCTAGGCACTCATGGAATATTAAAGATGTCCAAATATGGTGGCGTAATTGTCCTGATTTCATTGTAAATGTTGTTTACCATGACAAACAGTTTTTGTAATCCAATTTGAGGTTTATGTCTATGTTTCAATGAAGCAAATTTTTCTATCCAAAAAAAAAATGGACATGTCTATAAGTCTATTGCAACGAATTAGAACCAAGCGGGTACCTCTTTCCTTTCTCACTAAACAATTGATTATAAATGTATAATCAAAAGTAGCACAAATGATTACAAGGAACCCAACCAAACACCATGGGCACATTGGCTTATATTGGTAGACAGGGACAGCGCAGCTCATCAGCCACCCACTGCCACCGCCAACCCCACATCCCTCCTCGGCGTGGTCCCTATTCCAGCCTGTGCGCCAATCCCCCCACCCCCCCATCTATTTCCCCCTTTTTTCTTCACTTGCCATTGCCAATTGTTATTAGACATTAGTCTATGCACTCAAGTCCACCCACAAACGCCACATGACCCATCATTCTTAAGCAAACCAAGTCCTCAACTCCACATTTCCTCACAAATATCCTTTTTTTTTTTCGAGAGTAAGAAACGCGAAATCATCAATAGCCATGGATTTTCAGATCTATGGCTTCTGCACAATCTTCAGTTTTCTTATTCTCGCAAGTTCTGCATTGCAACAAAATCCACCGGCCCAGATAAACTCCAACTCGGTTCTCGTAGCCCTTTTGGATTCTCATTACACTGAGCTCTCTGAACTGGTTGAAAAGGCACTTCTGTTACAGACTCTTGAAGGAGCTGTGTCGAAGCATAATATTACAATCTTTGCGCCGAAAAATGAGGCCTTGGAACGAGATTTGGACCCTGAGTTTAAGCAGTTTTTGCTTGAGCCCAGGAATCTGAAATCCCTTCAAAATCTGCTGCTTTTTCATATGATTCCGACTCGCATTGAGTCTAACCATTGGCCTGTGGAGATGAACAACCCTGCTCATCACACCAGTCTTTGCCGTGATGCATTTGATGAAAAAATTCAGTTAATTAAGAAAAATGGAGAGAAACTTGTGGGCGAGGCGAGGATGTTTAAAGCAGATGATGTTGTTCGCCCCGATGGGATTATCCACGGCATTGAAAGACTATTGATTCCCAAATCTGTGCAACAAGATTTCAATACCAGGCGAAGTTTAAGGTCAATATCTGCAGTACTACCAGAGGGAGCACCAGAAGTTGACCCAAGAACTCACAGGCTAAAGAAACCCGCGCCCCCGGTTCCTGCCGGCGCGCCTCCGGTTTTGCCCATTTTCGACTCAATGGCTCCCGGTCCATCTCTTGCACCGGCACCTGCTCCAGGTCCTGGCGGACACCAGCATCATTTCGACGGAGAAAGTCAGGTGAAGGATTTCATCCAAACTCTCTTGCATTACGGTGGCTATAACGAAATGGCCGATATTCTGGTCAATCTCACATCGCTAGCTTCTGAAATGGGAAGATTAATATCAGAAGGGTATGTGCTTACAGTTTTGGCACCAAATGATGAAGCCATGGCGAAATTAACTACAGATCAGTTGAGCGAACCGGGTGCGCCCGAGCAAATAATGTATTATCATCTGATTCCCGAGTACCAAACCGAAGAAAGTATGTACAATTCGGTGAGGAGATTTGGGAAGGTGAGATATGATACACTGAGATTACCACACAAAGTGGTGGCTGAAGAAGCTGATGGTTCAGTGAAATTTGGACAAGGAGAAGCCTCTGCATATTTATTTGATCCTGATATATACACAGATGGAAGAATTTCTGTACAGGGAATTGATGGGGTTTTGTTCCCGCTTCAAGAAATCAAACCTGCTCCTCCTAAACCTACCCCTGTTGCTAAGGTTGTCTCAAACCAAAGACGAGGTATGTTAATATTATGTTGTCCTGTTGTTTAAATCTTGATTTGACTTGTGCAAATTGTGGGTTTTGTGAGTTTTTGCCATTCCATGTTAATTACAAAGGTTTGCTCCGGGAGGTTAAATTCGATGTACAAATAGCAAAACCCTAATTATAATGCTTAGTTATCAACTAACACGATCGGACTGGATTGGACTTGACAACCCGCTCTAATGTCCAATACTAGTGTCCATCCTTCCTACCGAATATGGGCTCGTTTGAAAGGGCTTTTGCTTTTATATTCGCATTTTGTAGAAGAGTTCCTGAAGTCGGCATGTTTCGAAGAGTTTTTTAGTTTCAAAAGCAGTTTTTGACTCTTTAAAAACTCTGTCAAACGGGCCCTTAGCACATTGTCTAGCTTTACAATTGGGTTTTCAATTAAGCATTGAGATGGTGAAATAGGAATCTACTTTAGGGTAAGAGGGGTATTGTTTTATTCAATGGATTCAAGAACAACAAACAAGAAACTTAGAATTAAAGTTAGTAAAATTATCAATGGTATGCATTATGGTTGAATGAATATTATTTATGTTTTACACTGACAAAAAAGAAATATTCGGGTATTATTATTTGATACGACGTTTCTTCTTTTTTTTAATAAGTGACGGCAAATCTCGACCAAGATTTTAAATTTGTTAGCTTGAAAAGATGTTACTAGTTCTTGAAATGTATTGATTAAACTTGTGTACTTCGTTAGTTTATTCTATGATTTTTGCAGGAATTGACTAATATCTGAAATTTGTTTCTATAATATACAGGGAAATTGTTGGAAGTAGCATGCACATTGCTTGGGGTCTGTTATTAAATTTTTATATTCGAGAATATTAAGAAGAAAAGGGAAGGAAATGAAGGAAAAACTAATGCAGAAAGGGTGAGTATACATCAAATTACTTATTTTTTGAAATTTAATGGTATTATACTGAAAATAAGTTGTTCTATGATTTGGCAGGATGAGCATACCCCACAGAAGAGAGTTAGGTTTTGTTTGTGATTTTGTTATAAGTACTGTAAATTACATATCCAATTTTTTATTTGTATATTTAAAGTTTGTTCCACCGACAGTGTATGCAAAATATCCACGGGTGGTTCGCTTTTCTTGCTTGCACCTTTTTGTGCACCCAAACCAACTCTTGTGACTCAATTTTTAATCGGATAATTACACTTGTTTAGGGGATTTTACAAGTGATCGTCTCCCCGTACACGTAGCACGTTTCTTTTTAATCACACTTTTTGTTAGCACGCTATTGACAACAGTCGATAAATTTTGTTACACGTCTCTCTTCATAATACAAATTGGCCAATGCTAGGGAGACAAGTGTCTCCCGGCCATGTCCATTGGGAAATCCCCTACCCATGTAGCACGTTCCTTTTTTAATCTGTTAAGATTTGGAGTTTCATCTTAAAAGGTCAATCTTATGAAGATGAGTAGACCAAACTCTTATAAATTGGTTTATGTTTTCATATTTATTCGATATGAGATTTTATCCCTTAACATGTCTTTTCAAAATGGTGGCTCGTTTGAGCAAACAAATCTTGAAATCCGTGTGCTCAATTTTTTTTGAGTTTTAATTGGATCGAATTGCTCGTTAGAGCTTAATGGACTCCGATACCATGTTAAGATTTTGGATTTCATTTTAAAAGGTCAACCTTATTAAGAAAAATAGTCCAAACTCTTATAAATTGGTCTATATTTTTATCTTTATTCGATGTGAGATTTTATCCCTCAAAATAATCACACTTTTTGTTAGCACACTATTGACAACAGTCGATAAATTCAATCACGCGCCCCTCTTCATAATACAAGTTTAGTGCAAGAAAAAACTCGTAATAATTCAGGTGGTCGGTCAAATTATCTTGATTGAGATTCCAATATGGCTTCTTTTTTCTTTTTGACAGAAGGTTCCACTGTGGCTCTTAAAGTATTAAAGTAAAAGATGGGTGATTCTCAATTATTTGGTTATAAAATGATTACTCACATCTCATCAAAGAGGTGTGAAGTGGCACACATGGAATTATTTGCTGTGGGGACTTTGGAGCCTTTGACTTCAATTATTTGCTGTGGGGACCCACGGTTCTTAACTCGACCATCAAATGGCTGTAATGGAAGTGGATACAAAAATGCAACAAAATATTCTTGACATATTATAACGATCTAACTCATTGTGTAATGTCCGCTTTGAATAAGCATTTGCCTTTCTCACGAATTTCTTTTGTGTTTCTTAGAATTTGAACCCAAGATCTCTGATTCATGAGAGACTTAAGTTGAATCTCGATACTAAAACGGGCAATACGTAATGATTAACGGCTTGGACACAAAAATTGGATCGTTAAACATATCATATACAAAGGAGAGATATATTCACACACAATTGAAGTAACAAACTATCAGCAATTGTATGCTGAAACTGAAAGGTCAACACAGCATAAACTGATGCTGGAACCTACTCAACTTGTTTATATTACAAAATCATATAAAAGAAAGGGCCTACAGTTTCATGTTTAACAAACTGGCATTGCCTCTCTAAATCCAATGTTAAAATTATTTTGTAGCCTCTTCCTACCTAAATCTGCATCTCCTTTCTGCATCATCGCCACAAACTCGTTATAATCTATTCGTCCATCCTGAAAAGAGAAAAAAACGACAGACCATTGTTAACATGGTGCAGTCGACCCCAAATAAAGATAATTTATTGATGGGACTTACGTTGTTTTGGTCAGCCTCTCGAATCATTTCTTCAAAGTGGACATCCTTTATGCCAAACTCTTCACAAGCCTTTTGAAGCTCATCTGGTGTAATGTAACCACTGCCATCTTTATCAAAATATGAAAAAGCTGTAAACAGATTATCTTCCTTCTCAATTTTGTTTAGATGCAATGTTGCAGCTATAAACTCCCCATAATCAATCGTACCATTGTTGTCAACATCTGCCTGCATTGTTTCAAGAACATGTACTGGAATTGAATAATCGAAACAAGAACTCTTCATTTTGCCTTAAATATCCCGAAGCTATATGTAACATAAATTCATATTCTCCCTACTGACCCTAATGTACACAAGCATGAGACTGAAAATAATACTTACAGACTTCATCAAATCATATATCTCAGATTCATCAAGATTTGCTCCAAATCGTTTCAGTCCAGCCTTTAGTTCTTCAAAAGTAATATAACCACTGTTGTCTGTATCTATCATTTTGAACATTTCTTTTAGCCCTGCAATTTCTTCTTCTAAGAGACTTTCGGCAATGACCTATAATAGAAAAAAAGTTGATTTTCAATATCGTAATACCAAAACAAAAAGGAATTAAGAATATAATTTGTTTTCCTATTTTAGAAACAAGTGTTGCATACTTGCATATGTGATAAGAAAGAAAATTCTCGGTTACTCAAGTATCAGTGTAAAAGTTTTGCTCGTTCAAAGTTGACATGAACCCTAAGTTTTTGGTTGAACTTATAGAATACATACCCTAAGAGCCATTTTCTTAAGCTTATCCATAGCTGAAAACTGTGTCAACCGAGTTAAAACTGCAGAATCAAGAGGTTTATCCGGGGCTACTCCATCAACCTGCACCCAAGGGTGGCCTACAAGAAAACCAAATTTAGAATACTGAGTAGAAGATGTAGCTGTTTGAAAAAGTTCTGTGCTTACAAAATCATAAATTTTTATTGTTTAGATTTTATATTGGCTCTAACCCAATCCAACTCAAGAACTCCAAAGTTCATTCTATACAGTTAGCAAATATTTTCAGGAAAAAGTCGGTAGACCTGGTTCCTTCCATAAGATTAACAAGGACTAAATGTTGATCTTAGCAAAGTAAACAAGTAGCACGAATGTTATCTTGTAACAACATTAATATTCAGTCCAAAGAAATGCTTTACTCCTTGTGGTAATGTCTAACTCATTTCACTTTCAGATACAAGATCCAATTATTTTGGATCACAGGGAGTTAGTTCATTTGCATCAGATAATATGTAAAAATAACCATAGAGTAACTTTGAAGTGAAAATTAATAATTGAGACTTACAAAGAACTTCATGAGCTGTCAACCGCCTTTTTGGATCCCTCACAAGCATTTTCTTCACTAGATCTTTGGCACTTTCAGAGATATTAGGCCAAGGATCTGATGAGAAATCAATATCACCATGCAAAACTTCTTCAAATATTTCTTGCTCACTTTCTGTACCAAATAGATTTAGAGAAGAATAAGAACTGTGAGTTTATAAAGATGAATGTGAATTAAAGGGAAAAAGAAAACATTCTACATCTTACCTCCCCAAAATGGAGGCACACCACAAAGAAGAATGTAAATCATCACACCAGCGCTCCAGACATCCGCCTCTGGTCCATAACACTTACAAAGCACTTCTGGAGCAACATAATACGGGCTACCAACCACATCAGTGAATATATCCCCTGTAGTGCAGAGCATTCATTAAGCAATCAAAGAAAGCATGGTCAAACATGCATAAATAAAAAGGCTCGGATAGTTCTTAGTGCACATAGCACTAGAATAAACTTGCGGGATGAAAAGCGTATAAAAAACATGATGATAGAAACAAAATCATTAAATTGTGATAAACTCGGAAATGCTGTCCCTTTAACACTCCATAAGCAAAAGTGCAATATGTTGGTTGTGACTGGAAGTCTATCAGTAGGCTATGCTTATGCTTGCAAACTGAGTAGAATGACTGAACTTAAAATGCAGTCTTTTTAGAATCTAATTTGTTGTAACCTGAGAAAGTGATACTAATTTCAGTGAACAAAAACTGTCAAATGAAAATCTCATGATCATGGTTTCCTTTCAACACAATCATTAGTCAGCATTCGTCTAACCTATAGCAAGACTGTGATCCTAATTGCAACTCCCCTCTTATGTTCTACTAAGTGTACTGGTCAATTTGCTGGCAGGTGAAGGAAATTACAGAGTTGCAATTTCTTGCTGGATATGGTCCAGTATGATTTATATTTCTGTGATAATCTTCAAGCAGCTTATACTTGAGGACTAATAGTTTCTGAAACTTTCATTACGATGGAGAGAACCTTGGGATGGGAAATGATTTGTATTCAAAAGGTAACTCTGGCGTATCCAAAGTACAAGGAAAATGATATCACATGAAAAGATAATAGGACGTGACAATGTGACCAATAAGGAAAGAAATCTTAATAAAAATAATTAATATCCTTGATACTGCAGATAATGAACCATCTGGGAAAATGTGAGGGAGAGATTGAGAAAACAAAGTACAAGTAAAAAAAGATATTCACTTTCAGTCTAGAGATTATCAACATGAAAATTTTAAGGACTATTTTACTGTTTGAGAAAATATTGATTATAGGAAAGGTGTGAATCAATGAAAATTCAGCATGTAATGATACCCTGCAAGCAAACATTTGGATTCAAAAACAACCATGTGTACATCTGCATGGACAACTTTTTTTTTTTTTCCAAGAATCCATTTACTCGGAACCAAGTCCATTTACCTAATACGCATGGTGCCTAATATAGAACAGGCAAACAGGACCAGTATAAAATGAGTTTGTATATAAGGTATATTGTAATAGCATTCTGGTGGGCATCTGCGAGATAGAACTTAATCATTCGTGTAACTCCATCAGTTTGGCAGTGTACTGCCTTCCACTTGAATTAAACTTTTATTCCTAAAGCTTCCTTGTTAACATCAAGTTGGATCCTGTAGAGGAAACAAACAAACTCTTTTTCCTTCCCACAGCTTACACCTCCTTCAGGGGACTTTATAGGAAAAGGTTTCTTGTAATCTTTATCTGACAACCAAGTATATAAGCAAAATTCCAATTCCACAAGAAACTTTTCAGTTCAATCGCCATCCTAAGCTAAAAAACCAATGTCCTTCAACTCATAAACAACAAATCGAGTATATTTCCATCAACCATCATCTTTTCATTAAGATATCTTGAAGTTCTAAAATCATAATTTCATCAACCTCTGCATTCTAATCTCTTATCAACGCGTGATTTCTCTTACATCCTAGATGCAACGGAGAGAAAAAATACAGCACAAGTTTTTTTTGAGCCAGAGAAAATCTAGCAGAGACTTTCCACAATATATGGACTTCATCCACGCATGTTACAAAGAATGTTATTTTTATCGGTACTTTAGTGTCTATTATCTTGTCATATTCCACAGCAATCCATCCAATTGCTATTTAGTCTATTTCATGGATATTTAGTTCAATCATCAATGTTTTATATTGAGACCTTGAACCAAAGTAGATTTGCAATCTGTCTAATTTATATTAAACAGTGAAAGGTGGATATACCCACTGAGGATACTTGTCATTACTGATCATAGTGAACCAGTTTTACAAACTGATACTTCTCATGAGTCATGACCTAGGCAATTAGATGAAGCTATGAAGTTCTGATGCCAGTTTGTCAAAGTCGCAAAGTATTCAACAAATAAAAGGTAAATTAGATAGAACTAGGCAATAAGATGAAACCATTAGATTCAGGAACTTTACAGAAAAATCGAGAGATAAATGACTTTGGAACATACCTGGCTTGAAGAATATGGATAACCCAAAATCAATCGTCTTTATAGGAGAATCCTCCTCCTCATTGACAAATAGGAAATTCTCGGGCTTGAGATCACGGTGCATGACTCCCAAAGAATGGCAGGCTTCAATAACACCAACTATTGTCCTGGTAAGCTCGGCTGCTTGTTTCTCGGAATAATGTCCTCTTTTAACAATTCTGTCAAAGAGCTCCCCTCCTGCACACAATTCCATCACGACATGAACGGCCACAGCATCCTCATAAGCCGCTTTGATTGAAATGACATTTGGGTGCCCAGCCAAGTGATGCATGATCTCAATTTCCCTCCTCACATCCTCCACATCCTCCGGAGTCAACAATTTTCTCTTCGCAATAGATTTACATGCGTACTCTTTTCCAGTTGTCTTCTCCACACACAGAAACGTCGTCCCAAACTGCCCATGACCAAGTTTTTGGCCCAAATTATAGTACTCCTTCAGGTGCCCTGTTTTGGTTCTTAGCACTGAGTCCACATTAAGACCTGCACTCATCATTCTCTTAACATTGTCGGGTTTCTTGGGCTTTGGTAGATCCACTGGTTTCGGCTTGTCATTCTCTACCATGATCACCTGTTCAGACTCAGGATTTTGAACTGGTTTTCTCTCATCAGTTTTGATTGCCTCTTCCCATTTTCTAGAGTGAGGTGGTTTTTGATCCTCCTTCACTACAATCACCATTGCCTCGGCTTGTGTGGGCTTTTCTGGTCGAAGTTCCTCCTTTTCAATCTTCACCAATTCAGGGGGTGTATTCAGAACAGGATTAGGGCATTCTAACTGTTGAACTGCAGATGGCCCTTCGCAACGATTTTCTTTGTTTTGATCATTCGAAAATAGCTGGGGTAAGTTAGGCCACCACAGATGTGAAACTGTGTGAAGAAACCCATCCTTAGCAATCTTCCCATTAACACAAGCATTTCCCATATTAGCTTATATCTTACTTTTTCCCCCCAAAATCTCCTACTATTGACATGCAAAACCCATCAAATTCCCCAGAGAAAAAAAAGAAAGATAAAAAGATTCAATCTCTTGAAGATTCACCCAACTGTGAAACCCATAATATTATCGGTCACAAAGCTTGATGATATGAAAAGTACTAAAGAAATCAATGCAAATAATGTTTTGTCAATAATTCTAGGAACTTACCAAAAATCAATTCAAATCACCTCCTATTACCCTTTTTTATAAACTCATTAACAATAAAAGCTAGCTCCAGTTATCAATGGAAAGGGCAATATAAACAAATTGTAAAAAATATTCCCGACCCTTCTTTGAAATTTGATTCATATAAATATAATCTATATGATCAAGAAAATTTCAAAGAAAAAAAGCACGCAGAATCTACCAAATATGGTAAAACAATTAAGGCCATGGAAAGAATGATTGTGTATGAACAGGTTTTTGTTTACCAAGTCCATCTCTCTCTACATTTATATCACGTTAAATCTTGATTTTGATTCTTAATTTCAATTTCTCCCCCTCTGTTGAAATAAACGCCAGGGAAAAATTCAAAAGAGAGAGAGATGACAGGTTTTTCTGTTAGAAATTTGGATTCTTCCCAAATTCTAAAACGCATTTAGTATAGCATTTGTTTGTTTGTCAGCGATATATACAATTATAGTTTGTCTGGCAGGATATCTACTTCTCTAATTATAATTTCGCGTGAAAATTATCTTAGATCAGCTTCGTCTAAAAGTTCTTGCTAAACAGAACAATTTTAAAAAATTATCGAAAAATATACAAAACACAATTTCTTAATCTCAAAAATTGCTTTTGACTTTTTAAAAGCACTGTCAAACACAACCTTAATGCATTCTAATTGTCAAAAATATATGTAATTGACTCAAAGTTTAATAGAAGATAATTTTTACATTACACCGCTCATTCAGCTATATATATGGAATAATTGATGTATTGAAATCCAAATAATTCTACTAAGAAGAAAAATATTTTAGATATATAAAAGAATTATTTTCAAGAAATTCTGAGGAAAAAAAAAACATACGTGACTATGATTCTTGATCGTGCCTTGCACGAATGGACGTGACGGTGAAGTGGTAAGCCACTTAGAAGATAAGCCTTTGAACGAGTCTTCATTGGAATTTTTAATAAATGCAAATAGACCGGTAGGAATAACGTACTTAAATTTCTAAGCCTTGACAGCTGCCATCTGCCGGCAAGCACCGGCCGGACAATAATTTTTCGACTGGTAGTCGTTCCATGTCCTATACAGGCCAAAAACTTTATTATTAAATAAGGTAAAGTTGAGTTCCAATAGTTGTATTAGAAAGTAACACGGTAACTAGGTTCAAAGTTTATTAGAAAAATGTACAGTGTGAAAAACTCGAGATGGCTATGTTTCAAACATCTCTAGCCAATCCAGATAGATCAACATCTCCATCAGAATTTTTCTTGGGAAAAGCTTCATTAGGAGGGTAAGCTTCGATGGGAATTCCACGCTTATTGTGAGAGGATGAAGACTCGTCGTCAAATATGTGAGGAACTGCTATTGAACTAAAGAAATCATTCTTCATCTCTTCGGCTGCTTCAAAGAAACGGTTGATACTGCCAAAGAAATTACGTTCAATAGCTTCAATATCACCACGTAACCCAGGAAAGTGAAGGGGTCCCTGCTCGGATGACTCCAATGGGATCCCTTTAACCACTTGGTCTGTTACATCTTCCTCGGTATACTCTTTGTTAGACTGTACCATTTCACTAGGCCTGAGATGAGAAGAACATGATTTAGATTATATACGAGAGCCCAATGCAAAGCAACCATATACTTTGACATAAACCCTAGATGGTAGACCTAACTACATATAACAAACTCGTCAGGGACCCCTAAAAAAATATAAAAGCAAATGCAGTTCACAAAAATATAGTAACAGAAAATTAAGAGCAGTTAGTACAGTCAAATCTCTAAACAATAAAGGAGAAGATGGAAAGTGCGGGGAGGGGGTCATTAACATGTATATGCCCATATGTTTGTTCAAGTTATTAGAATTATAATTCTGGAAGGCAACAGCCTGTGCCAATCTCTCAGTTCAGTGTTTCACATAATGGCGAACTTTCACAGCATGAAAGAAGCATCTAATCCATTATAGAATTGCCAAAAACGAGTTGCGCTTTTAATTTAGACAGACATTAGGATAGAATGGTGCAAGCAATCGATTGAGTTTCAAGTTTAGGATTTGTATTGTTGAAATCTATAAGTAGATGAACAAGACATGTCTAAATGATACAGCTGCAACATCAAAGAAAGCATTCATCTTCAGGACGTTTTTGGTTCTATAACGTGATTATTGGCTCCCTACTGTCAAGTCTCAGGTTTTCTAAAAACCAAAAAAATATATCCAGATGTTGCAATCAAATAGTACCCCAGTGCAGTCAAAACAATATATATGAGAAATTAGATCTCAAAAGGCAGCAAATTCCAATGGATAGATGGAAGAGGCGGCACCAAAAAAATTCCATGCCACTAAAAAGGTCTATAGATGCAAATTTAGGTTAATCTTTTCAGCTTGACCATAGCGACGTTTTTCAGCAAATGATTGTGAATTTATCTCATATAAGGTATCCTGTTCATCCCCAAGATTGAGTCTTGTATCCATGCTATCTAGCTCTCTCCAACATTTGTGCTCAATTGGCACTTGGCATAAGTAAAAGTATTCAGGTTGGTCTTCTTCCAATATATAGACATTATTGTCAAGTAGTATATATGGCTATAAACCCATTTAATAGATTCTCAATTATATGGTTCTGGACAGCTATGCTTCTGGCAAAATTATGACAAGAGGGAGCTTCTAGAACAAGCCTAATTCACACCAAAACTGAATCTTTGAGTTTCCTGAATGCCTATATGGTCTTCACCAAAATTTTGATGTAACCTTAGCCATGTTTTATTCTCTCTGATACTGAAATGATATCACTTAGTTAATTATAATAAGTTGTATACCAGTATCATTGGTATGCCCCAGAATAAACCATACATCAGATTCATATATAGAGGGGTCAACTGGTCAAGGCCATAGTTATTTTCTATTTCTTCTTTAGACACTCCAAGACAACCGCCAAAAAGGCCAAAATGAAAATATACAGACATTACCATTAATTCATATTCATATGTATACAATTATCCTTTTGTCCCAATTATTCACAAGTACCGTCATATGCACTTTTCTAAATCTTACTCGGATTCCATTTATGCTGAAATCTTATATTGTTAAACGCTTCGTTCACATGTTCAGAGAAGATCTTCCATTCTAGTGTTTGCTTTCCACAAATTAGAAAGTGTTTGTAAATAGTTTTAGCAATAAATAACAATAAGGCAAGACTTCCCCTCTCCAACAATCCTTAACAGCACCCTCAATCTTCTTTTTTCAGCTAAATTCATATAATATCACATACAAGTTTTTACAGTCTAAATATACAGATAAGCATATATTTTGAGGAATATAAATTACAATAACTGATGAAAGCAGAACCATCACAAATTTCCTAAAACCTTATGCAAACATACTATTGGCAAAGAAGTGCGTATATCGGAAAAGGGCGGCTTTTCAAGACAAAACCTTTCTGCTCCCATTGGCCCTCAACTTTTCTCGTCCAACTAACCTAACAGGTCATTCATTGACAAGCCCAGCTAACAGCTCTTTTGTTCGATTCTATTCCTATTTCCTGCTCTTAAGCAAAATATTTGCTAGCCTAAAAAATATAAAATCATCACTTCCTCTCACGATCTCATAGTTACAAGGAAATTAAACAAAAACACAAAATACGAACACAAATATATGTAGAAATCATATTTTGGGACTTCTAATATACCTTCCCACGCAGTCTTTGAAAATCTTCTCGGTTTTCTCGCACTTACGAATGAATTTCCCCGGCTCAACTTCCTCCGTCCGGCACTGAGACGATACAATCTTTCGGGTGGCGCAGCGGTCGCCGTTACCGTCATCTCTAGGGTTTAATGAGCCGTTAAACACATCACCAGCGGAGGAGTCAGATTCATCGTCATTCTTCCACACCCAGCCCATTGTCGATTTTGCGTTACGAAATATTCTCTTGCAATTTGTGAATTTATGTAATTTTTATGCTTCGCGGACATTCCATAAACTTTTCAAAGACGGTGCGTTCTTACTTGGGTAAATTCGGTAATTAGAGCTAGTTACTTGGCCTATTTGGATTCCATTTTAATTTTAATACAATTTTTTCTTTATTCTCAATTATATATTTTTCAATAAAATAATATCGCACGTAAATTTAAAAATTTTCTTTCTTTTCCAACGACACATTCTCCAAATAATTGATATTTTAAAATACATTTTTTTTTATCAAAACCTCATTAAAATGGAGCCCAACTAATACTTACTTGAGCATCACATAATTTATGGACAAGTGTCCCACAAGGACTTACTCGATTCACAATGCATTGTCTAAAATGATCCATTTAGTAGAGGAATCGAAGTCGAACCGATCGATTCTATCTAATTTTGGTCCAATTCCACTCATTTCAGAAAAAAATAAGTAAATGAATAAAAATATGCCCACCCCTACCCATTTTTAATGTTTATTATGAAGAAATGGTAGAACATTTGTAAATTTTGGAACAAAATGGACAAAAATACCCTTAACATCACTCAATTAGCCGCTATAACAAAAACCTCTCTCTTTCCGTCGGTTCTAATTCATTTGTTTCTATGGGGGGAAGAACCATCTCGCTAGCATCTCCATGCCGCTTCCATCACCTCGTTTTCGGAAAGATCGAATAGCCGAATCTCCAACCCATTTTGTTTCTTGTATTTTGAGTTCTCATGGATGCATTGGAATTTATGTTAAAGAAAGCATCTCCAATGGACCGTGGATTGCATCAAAAAGGTGGATGGTGTGCTTAGGCATCTTTCACTTAATTTTTCATAATTTATCTTCGGTAGAAGACATGTCTATTTAGTTTTTTATAATTTAGCTCAACTCTTTCTCTACATCATCACTACTTGTTTCACAATTAGTGCAATTTACATCTCCATTGGAGGTGTTCTTCTTTTCATTCCAATTTAGCTTGTCGCGTGTACAACACTTCAAATCATTGCTTATGCACCTATATGTATTAATGTATAATTTTGCAACTGGTGTCCCATTTTAAACAAAATTTTCGTCATCCATTCATCTAGTGAACTCGACATTTTCCCTTATGCGATTCAAGAACTCGGCCATTTTTACAAAAGGAATTTTGGCCTATCTACATAGAAAATGGTCGTACTTGCTAAAGTTTTTAGATTTTTTACAAAAGGGCTTATTTGTCAATTTACTTCAAATTTGGCCTTATTTGCAAATATTTATATATTTGGCCATTTACAGTGTTTGTTGCTTGAACTTCACACATCTTCCTACGTCCATGTATAAACAGAGACAGAATTGAACAAGAGAAGGTATTTTATAAGAGTACTTCAAAATTTTATAAGACGCCAGTTGAGCAAAATCAAAATTTGACATATTGAAATCCGCTCACCTAACCTCTGTGGAAGGAAACTCAAAGCAAATTTTATCGCAACTTCTAGGAGCGACGGTCAATTAGCCTGATCACAATCCAGAAGATGAAAGGTAACTCGTAGAGAACTCGAGGTTCTATCTAAATATTAACACTTAGTAATGAGTAAATGTTTGATCTTCCAAAAAGGGAAGACAGAAAAAAGTTGCAGCTTGGCTCTATCACACTGCTGCATTCACAAGAAAAAAGCCAAAAACAAAAGAACCATATATATAAGAACCCCAGCATGAGTATCACATCCATTGGCAAGAGAATGAATCACATTCCTCGGCAGAAACATCAGACATGTTTTTACTGAACAAAAACTGAAAAATGACTATAAACATTGTTGCCTCTACTAGAGCTTCTTAACAAGTTCTTCCTTTGCACTTTTGTAGTAAGTTATTCTTTGGATGGAACCAAGGGCATCGTCATACTTTTTATTCAGAAATGCATCTTCAAAGGAGTTGCACCAATATTGCATTTTTTCCTGTATCTGTAAACAGGTGAGAGAGACAGAGAGATGATACATTTAAATCTGGTGAAGTACCAAGTACAACCAAATGAGTGATGACCCAACATTCATCAAACTTCAGCTATCCTAATTATACACGTAAATAACTTTCCAACCCATTCTTAGCTATGATAATAATAAAATACGGAGACAACTTTTCGTAAATATCAAAGACTCCAGATGTCCTCCTAACATATTATCTACGATCCTCCATCTGAGAATTACTTTTTTATCATATTTCTAACATGAGCAGTTGGAAGGGAATATGTAGTGTCTGCCAAAAAGAAAAAGGCAATCCCCATTCCCCAGATGCATCTTTTTTAGAATACCGTACTCATACCTGAGCTTTGATCTGATTTAATGCTTGGGTGTCTTCTGCATCTTCGACAGCTTCCCTCAGCTCCAGGATCTGCATTCAAATCCACTCATAACTATCGTAGATCATTTTCATGAAATTGCGACTCAACAACAAATTCTGAATTTGTGAGTGTTGAACCACTTGATCTAAAAGTTTAAACTGTTGAGTACAACCAAATGCATATCATTTAAATCTTATTTTCAACACGTCCCACGCCCCCTCATGTGCAGGTGGTATTCCCTTTTTTCCATCAAAACCTAACACATGCACAATTTTATTGCTTTGTTGAATCACTTGATCTAAAAGCTTAAGCTGTTGGATATGGCCAAATGCAAATCATTTAAGTATTATCTTAAACATGACCTTAATAATGGAAACATATTACATCAATATTTAAAAAAATGTTCATATCAAGTCCATTTATCAATGCAATCTTCAAATATAATATTATATTTGAATTCAGTACATAAATTAACTCTTTAACAGCCTCGCGTTCTTTACCAATCTCAACCTCCTCGTATATCCTGTCATCTCCCTTCCCAAGCCCTTCTTTCTCTGTCCCAAAAAGTCTTCAGCACGAACTTTTCAGAATCTCTATCATGGCATACAGAATGGAAATTCATCTCCCTTTATCCTGCCATTTCCCTTCTGTAGCATTCTCCCTCCATCCCCTAAAAACTCTCCTTATGAACTTCTCAGAATTTCAATCACAGCACAGAAGATGGAAAAGAAGAAACATAAATAAATGAAGTCTTCTATTAAATGAAGGTTACAAAAGGTGAACGCCTAGATTGATTTTTATTCCTGCTAAATGCTACTAGTAAGAATAATGAAAAGATTTTTGCATTTATCTGAATCCTCCAAACACCTAGTTACATGGACCAGACAGCATTCCCTTATGAGCCTGAAGCACACAAACAGGGGAGATGTACACTTCATAATGCACTCAATTCTCAAAATCAAATTGATTGATGAAAAACAAATAAGAAAGAAAAGAAAAATCTAAACATAGAGGTTTAAAATTACCTCAGCAAGCAATTCCGGGTCTGTAATCCTTTCTTCTTCATCCACAACCACATTTTCTAACTTCAACTGTACAGAACAGGCAAACAAGTTTAAAAGAAAAAAAGGAAAGTGCAATGTCATGACTCATAGAAGTAAAGCCAACACAATGTCATACGTAAGGCAAAGGGATAGACTTACAATCGAAACATAAAGTAATTGGCCAGGCAATGACAGATAATGGAGGCAGTTCAAGTTTTATCATTCACCATGCTAGGGCAGAACTCATTCACAATAACTATTAACAAAAATCCACATACCAAAACAAGGATACTTAATCACTGCACTTTAACACTTTTTTCTTTTCACATTTCCACCAAGACACCAAATTTCTTTCGGAATATTCATCATATCTTCAATTAAGATATCTCAATTGCCCCCATGAGAGGATCTTAGTTGGGTGCATATAAATGACAAAGAAATATGGAAACGTGAACGATTAAATTTTGTACAACATGAACAAGATTTATTTTCTTGTTTAATATCTCAAGGGCAAACATAAACTCAGGACTGCCAACAACTGAACATTCTAAGTATTCTAACTTCTAGTCACCAGGCAGAAGTATTTGTGTAGTCAAATAAACACTCAACATATGTAAGTCAGCAATTTCATCATCACGTGAGAAACATCAGCCATGAAAAATGGAATATAAACTTACGATATAGATTGCTCTGGACAATGGGTCCATTAGTGTACGATATGCATCAATCACACGAGCAGATTGTTCAGCAGCGTACTCCCTTTCTCTCTGGTTCAAGAGGAAACTCAAAAATCATTTATTTTTAATGCAGCAGAAATTCTCGATCTAAAGGAAAATTAAGGGATGTAATCCACAGTATCAACCTGGGATTTAGAATGAACAAGATCAGGATGCAGCTTCTTTTGCCAGTCTTTGTACTTCCCCTCTAATTCATCCACTTCGATGTTGAATTTCCTTTCCCTGTGAAGGAAGCAATTGCAAAGAAGTCTTCTACGTATCATGATTATTTAGAACATATAAATTATTACAATAATCCATTTTCCTCAATAGAATAATTACCGTGAAACTTAAAACTCTGTTTGGCGGCTAAACAAATCAATAGCGTGTTAAAAAATCATGGATAATCGATTATACGAAAACGGGTGAGAATTCAACACAAAGAAAGACAAAAATATATGCACATTATCAAACATTAAACTATCAAACCTAATTAAGCTCATATATTTTACCATTTATTTTGCCCAAACTAGAAGACCAACGAATGAAGACACCCAAAAAAAACTTACACTCCAAGAATTTGAAAATAATCGATCGAGTGATTCACGGGTTGGACACTGCGACAGGCTTGACAGACCAGAAACGGAGTCGTACCATCAGTAGTGGCATCGCAATTCCAGCACTGAAGTTTTTCAGCGGATTGTGACTCCGAGCAGAAAGAATTCTTCTTTTTCACAAATAAATTAACATTTTTCTTATGAAACCTTGAGCCTCCAAAAAATAGCCCCCCTGCAGTAGCAAAAAATTCTCCTTCAATTTCGCGAACAAAAGGAGGGGAAGAAGAATACGAAGCAGAAATTTGTAAGAGGGGATTTAATATCGGAGTATTTTTGTGAGAAACTGAATTTGGAGATTGGATTTTTGCTAGTTCTGTTGTGCGTAATAGAATTGTTGAACTTGGTTTTGAAGCGTAAAGCTTCTTCTTCCACATGGTTTGCGGTTCAGCGGTGACGAATGAGGATGGTACCAACTTTTAAAAGGTGGCATACAAGAGTGTACAGTGTACTTCACAAACATTTCTTGAACGGTGATGAAAGGTCGATTGAAAAATTGTGAATGTGAAATATATAGGTAAAATTAAAATTATTATTTTTATTTCCACCAAATAAGGGATTATTGTTCTTTCTCTGTCACTCAAAATCATTTGAATCAACATTTGTCACATTATCGAAATCATTAATTACACATTTTGTGAATCTCATTAATATTTGAATTAAAATCTTGATTTTTATTTCCACGAAATAGAGGATTATTTTTCTTTCTATGACTCAAGATCATTTGAATCAACGATTCAATCGTTAATTACACATGCGAACTCAAATTCACAACACATTTTGGAAACCAGACACCTTGACTGAAGAAAGAAGAGAACACTAAAAGCTTTGTAATGAGACAGGCTCAAACGAAGACAAATTCTTCAGAAAACCGAGAGATGTTTCTTCTACAATATTATTTTTCTTTCGTTCGAACTGCAGAGCAAATGTTTACAGAGAACAATATTGTAACAAAGATTATAATTATACTAGTGTACAACAAATCGGACGTCAACTCAAGAAGCCCAAAGGCATGTGTAAATAAAGAGGTCCACCTTCAACAACGGAAGCTATTCAGCCATCGACTTTCCAGGAATGAAAGTCAAGCACCAATACCTCGACGTCTTGTTCTTTCTTTTGACGGTTCTCTTTTCAGCAATGTGATCGGTCTCTAAAACTGTGGCCTTGTTACTTTGATTCATGGAAGAATATATAGCAATGTGATTAGTCTCTGACATCAAATGATTTTCATCTGGTGAAGCTGGTGCTATCTTATTATGGCTAGTTTCCTTGGATCCTCCACACCTGAAACAGGAAAAATTTCAAATGATGAAAACATTTTTATATCGTAAATCAAGGGCATCTAGGCTTTTATGATCGAAAATTACCTGGAATCATGACTGCCAGAACTGTTCCTGGGCTCATGCAAAGTCGTCTCTGTCGATCCTGTTTTTGACAATCCAGTGAGATTCCAGTCTTGTCTGCATATTTGATCAGCTTCTGAGGATGCTGACTCTTTTGCACCATCAGTTTCTATATTGATGGACTTTCCACTGCTGATGCCTGAATGAGATCCTGTTTCGGGATTGGATTTATATTCCCGGAAAATGGAAATCACCTTTTCTAATGTTCCTAGAGCCTGTTCGACCTCGGGGCTAATAACAACTTTGTTATTCTCGTGGATCAAAAATTTGGGTCTCGTCTCATTTGTCAGGTGATTGCCCGGTTTCTTGATATTCTCATCTCCTGATTCAGTTTCTCCAATGTCTGTTTCCTCAATCTCCTCAATTTCAAAAAGACCATTTTGATCTCTGACAACTACATCCTCTGATATTGAATCAGCAATATCAATGTCATTGCTATGAATATTCTCCTTCATATGATCATCTTCTCTTGCCTCTGTTTGCTCTTCAGACATAATGGACGTCTCTTTCTGCAGTCCTTGCTCAGGAGCCTCAATAGTTATATTCTCTGAATAAAGAGCCTCGCGTATGCGAGTGTAGAGTGGGTCTTTTAAAATCTCGCTAAATTCTCCGTCACCTTTAGAAACTGAAGTAACTTCCTGTCATTTCGAAGAAAGGAAAGACTGAGGGAGGGACAGTACAAAAAGCTGCAAGAGTAAAATTAATATCTTGCATTGGCCATTAGTACAGGAACATGTTTGGCTAAGCTTAAAAGTAACTTATCAAAATAAGCTTGAATAAATTACTCTTTTCTTACTAAATGAAATTTCAGGACTCACAGGTCTTCACCCCCCTTAACCCCCAGGCAATGCAGAAAAGAGGTTCATGTAAAAGTTGAAATATTGATATCAACAGTGGCATATCCATGCAATAACCAAATTAATCTTGTGAGCAGAACCATCACAAAATCAGAATTAACCTTTTTATAGAGCTTGAAACCGCTACCTATGAGCTGCCTTGAGATAAAATTGATGAATGCTGGAGGAATAAAGTCCAATTTGATATCCATGTTTGCAATTGTCCTGCAGTAACTTGAAAGTATGATAGGAGTTTGGGATAGAGAAAAGTCCTACAAATTAGACAGCAGAATATGACACTATCATTCTGTATGTATTGTATATGCCATCTTAAAATCATTAAAACTTTGTTTGACCCTCATTTCCTAAAACTCATTTTTCTTCAAACTCAATTTTCAACCACCACATTTAATGGGATCCAGAACTTTTATCAATTTTTCAACCAATATTCATCAACTTTTATCAAAATCTACTAAAAATCTGATTTTTATTTAAGGCCCTGTTTGAGCCATATTATATTTTTCATTCTCATTATTGTACTTATTTTCAACCACACATTTTTCAATAAAATAATATTTTCCATCACATTAATAATTTTTCCTTCTTTTTCAACCACATATTCCCCATCACATCAACCAAAAAATGCATTCTCTCTACAAAAATGCCTACCAAACAAAGGCTAAACCAAGCAGGGGCTAAGCGTCCAAGTAACTTTGCATTGTTTTTAAATTTGTCAATGGCACAGAAAAAACATAAAGCAAACATAAGGAGAGTTTATTTTGTCTCACAAGACAGTTTTCAACTCGGACCATGTTTTTCATAGCCAGTCCCAAGTTTTGAGAATTTATTAATACCCACAATATAATGGCAGTTTTCTAACAGATGCTATCTCAATGACAAAGTTAAGATTGCAATCTTGTTTATTTTCTTCTCCTAATCACATGCACATAAGGAGGAAATTGATTAATACCAGAACGTGACATGAAATCAATTGCAGTTAGGTTCAACATTGTCATAATTTTTATTCGCGTTGGCACTATATCTTACAAAATCATTCACATAAAGCAGCATAGCTATCAAGTGCAAGTAATTGGAAAAGAAATGAAGATCGAATACAACTTACCGGAAGTAGCTCCTGTCTGCAGTCACTTTTTGTATTGCAAAGCCTCCCACTACATCAATTCTCACTACATCCCGTGCATCAGGTATTCCATCTCCGGTAAAACCATGTGTACTTGTATGGATGGTCTCCGAATCGGAGATCTGAAAGCCAATATATAACGTTACTTTTCAATTTAGAGAGCCACATGTCTTGGTTGAATGGGACAAAAACAGTTACTTTACCGAATTAAGAAGCACAACAACTAGCCCGTCTTCAAAGTATTCAAATGCAAAATAATGTGCTAGAACCTCTCTGCTTGACAATGGCCATGAAACTTTCATCCTTTCTTCCAAAGAATTAGATATATATCAGTATCTTAAGAGGCATGTTTATGAAAACCACTCGGGAATAAGTTCCTGTACAATGGCATACCTCACTAACGATATTTGTTCACCAGTCCTAACTCTTTGTAAACACTCAGATGAGACGATTTTGAAAGTTGGAATTGCAGTTTGAGGCCACCTAGTAGAAAACAATAGTCGACAATAACATTAATCTATAGTCCTCATGGTGGATTTACTTTGTTTCCTATATTTAATGTGTCACAAACCACCATATAACTATTTATTGCATCAAGAAAGAAGAAGTTTGTAGCAAGATTCCGATTACCCAACTAAATTATTTATGTGGAGAGCTAATGTTATATTAGAAAAGGCAGTAAGCCAGCAACTTAGAAACTTATACTATGTCCCAAAGCTGAAGGATACACAGTTTAGTGCAACTCTCACCATTTCTTGTAGAGACTTGATTCCCATGATATACACAGACCTGCAATAGATTATGGAACTTGACTTAAAAGATGTACACGGAGATTAATGAACTCGTACACGTCTCAAGTGACTGTGTACTCAGCAGATGATAAAACTGAAATTGTCGGAGCATTGTAAATTAGCTTACAAACATCTAGCGGACCATCTACATAGCCTTCAACAAGTAGTGTATGAAAGGGAGTGCCTTCTGGCCCTTCTCGATACATAACCCTGAACTCTTCGGTGTCCTGTTTTACCTGAAAAATATGAAGGATAGGGCCGATCGGCAATAATGTTCTCAACCTTCTTTTCCAAATTCCCAATATGCAACTCCAAAAACAGAATAATGAAAACATATCTAGTTGAAAGAATGCTTATCGTGTCCAAAATGGGATGAGTTCTCATGCAATAAAAATGAGCAATTTTAAATATCAGAAGTGAAGCCGAAAGGTTCAGTATCATGAAAATTCTCAACATCCCAAATTTGGGTAGGCTTAAAATGTTGATATTGTCACAAAAGCTCACTGATGATGAATCAACACCAATTTCCATTACGAAATGAAATGAGGAAGACTATCAATTCCAAACAACATACTTTCCAGCCACCACCTGATTCCTCGCTGAATTTTGACCTCTCAGTGTGATCGACGGATGCACTCCTCAACATATCAAGAAAACTGTACACTTCTTTACTTCTTCTTTCCACTGCATTGTTAAAATGTTCTGCAAATCACATATAACATAGTCTATCATATCTTAAACATGACCTGTATGCCTAATTGACGATGTTAGAACTTAGAACATTATTAGTCATTAATATCCCAACCTCCAAGTTGCAAATCCACAGATGAGCGTAAAAATTGATTCTTCACAAGAGTCTTGAGGATTTCTTCATTTACCAAGTTCTGAGATGCCAGTGTCTTGTCCAGCTTATGTCTGTAATCTGAAATATCACCTTTCGCCCCCATATTTGCATATCCAAGCAAAAAGGGAAAATTCGTCGCTTAGATCCTAACGAGGCAAAAATGGATATATTGATTTCTTCATCATCCCAAACCAAAAAATAATACATTTATACATTATATACACGCATAAATTGAAATGTGCACCATGAGATTGGAAAAAAAATACAAAAAATCCTCATTTTTCTATAAACAGAACTTAACTCGAGCCAAAGTCAACATATTTGGAAAACCCATAAAAGAGAACTCTTTCTATGGTCTTTTTCTCAAAGAAACTCAATTATAACTAGTTACTGCGTAACACAGCCAAAAGGTTGTCCATTTTATATTTTGAACAACGATTGCCTTTCTGATATATAAATATAAAAATACTTGAAATTTAGAGTTCATTTCTAAGTCAATATAATCATCCCACATAAAGCATTCAAATGATTACTTATAAGTTTTGTTTTATAACAGAAATTCAAACTCAATCAACAAAAATCATACACGAAAAAAGCAACAAACAAACTGAATACGTGAACATGTCTCACGGTCAATATCAATCGTTAATCGAGAAAAAAACTCACATGCAGCTGAATTCAGGACAGTCCAGATTGCGTTTAAATTTACAGAAATGAAAAAAATTGGAATTTGATGCAGAGAAATTGCAGATCTCCAAAAGAAATTAGTGGATAAGGGGACAAGATCAGCTGATGTGAGACCACCCAGGCGGAATCTTAACATGGGTATTTCTTCAAGAAAACGCATTCGCAGACAGGCAGCAGAATAATCTGTGGCCTTCGCCTTTTCCAAAATCTTGTAAGGAACAAAAGAAATCCCATTAATTCTGGGTGTCATTTTTCGTATGATAAATACTCAGTGCTGGTTGAAATTAATGATAGTTGATTAGCAACATATCTAAATATGTCGGCCCCATTATTCCAAATTATAACAGAGAAATAAGAATATTTTAAAAAATGTGTTGTTAAAAAGAAAAAAAATTATTTAAATTTATGAGTAATATTATTTTATCGAAATATGTATGATTGATAAAAAGATAAAGAAAATGAATTATAATTTAATGAAAAAAATAATGGAAGCCAAATGGGGCTGGGTGAATTTATAATTGCTTACACACCCTATTCGTGTGAGTCATGGATTGGAGTTAGGTCCGTCTAAAGACATTATTGTAGAAGATTAATTCCATAAAGAAATCTAATCAAGAATATGAATGATCTGACTATCTATTCTTGTCATGTAAAAGTGAACAATAAAACAACACACATTAATTTAAGTGGTTTAACAATGCGACATGAATAAGTCCACTAACTTCGAATATGGTTATAATAAGCATTTTATATAAAGTCTTAATTCCTAAATTACCCTTACAATATCATACCGTTATCACTTCGCCCCCATACGGCCATACGCCCAATTTATCCGTGTGTAACCTAATGGGTTAGTTGATTTTTCCTCTAAGTTCAAGCCTACCCGTTCGTCCCTTCCGCTCTGTCAATTAACCTCTCCTATACCAAATTTTTTTAATATATGAGCCACCATTTACCATTCTAAAACATAGAGGTGAAATGTCTCCGAGGCATAGCTCTGTGGTGCAAAAAACAGGAGTGTTGTAGTCTCAATTGAGTTGACAGCCGCAGTATGAAGGTTCGATTCTTACCTCTTATAAGGTATGAGATTGTACTATTTGTGGGCATCAGTATGACAGCTCGTGTACCCTTGCCTGCTGAGGCACATCCCTTGATTCGCATCCTTCACAATGCTCTATCAACCCTTTTTAAAACAAAGAGGTGAAATGTAATGATCCTAATCTCATCTCGTTTTCGTAAATCAAATTTATAGTCAAAATTCAACATACGTGGGTAAAGAATAATCAAATTCTATCAACAAGAAACCCACATTTCTTTAATTAAGGCCATGTTTGAGTCCTAATTTTTTCAAAAAATATATTTTGAAATAGTAATTTGATGGAAAATGTTGGTTAAAAAATAAGGAAAAATTTTGAATTTACGTATAGTATAATTTTATTGAATAATGTATAATTAAAAATAAAAAAGAAAAAAAAATATTTTAAAAATAATGGGTACCAAATAAGTGCATAAAATTCACTTATTAGAATATCATAATAGTAGCATGGTCCACATAGACCAGTCTCCATTAAGCATGGCCGGAAGTTGGAACAGCATTTAAGAGTCGGATTGCAATCTCATATGGTTGTAACAAACTTCCTTTTTTTAGTTTAAACAAATAGAAGTGACAAATGAAGTGTCAATCAAATTGGAGGGGTTCGACAAAAATCATAAATAGAAACATGTCCCTCTCAAAAGGAACGTGAAAGAAAATTGGTATCTTAGTGTGTGACCTTTGCGTGTCAAGACTAAACGGTGGGGTTGGTGATTGTGCTCATATTCAATTTCTTGTCTCATATTCTTTCACATAGTACTACATGTAATAGAAGTTATTAGCACTAATTTATATGATAGTGGGATTATTGTTACAATGTTCAATAAAATAAAAACACGTTTTAATTTCATTAGGTAATGTGATAATGGTCCATAAACTATATTAAGCATTAGTATATTTAATAAAATTCGATAAATATGTTATTAGAAAAAAATTTTAAAAATTGTAGGTCTCATAAAATGCGTGATTGAAAATGAGTTTAGGAAAATTGGAGCTTTAAAACATTGTGTTCGAACGAGGGCTAATTACAATTAGTCGCATTCTTTACTATACGTTGATTTGATCTTTATCAGCCTCTCCCATGCTAACATCGATTGCAATAAAAAGGTTGTCACATAATATGAAATATGTTATAAAATAGAGAAAGAAGAGAAAATATAGAAATCAATAGATTTGTGTGTATTTTATTAAGAACTAAAACCCAATATTTATATGAAAGAATTCGGGATACAATGATACAATAATTATAATAACTAAGACTGCATGGACATATTGGTCATTCACAAATTAATATATATTTTACAACATTCTCACTCGAATGATGTATTGCACAATATATGCCTCGTTAATATATCAAACGAATGAAAAAAAAAAGTTATTTTGAAATATTAAAAATAAATGCTACTTCATTGAAATCTTGCAAGGAAAACTCGATAGAATAAAACCTAAGCGAAAGAAAAATAGTACAACTACTTCATCTCATATTGATCAACGTAAATCATTGAGTCTATGAACTCCTATCTTGTGTATTAATTTCTTGAATGTAGACGTCGATGATGCTTTGTGAATAAGTAAGCCACATTATCACTTGAACGAATTTGTTGAATATCAATTTCATCGGTCTTCTGAAGCTCATGTGTATAGAAGAATTTTAGAGAAATATATTTTGTCATATCTCATTTGATATAGCTTCCTTTGAGTTATACAATAAAAGCTGCATTATCTTCATAAAGTATTGTTGGACTATTTTTTTATTTTTTTGTTGAGATTAATCCATTCGATACTTGGATATAATGAGTCATGTTTCTTAGCCATATACATTTTAAACTTTCTTTATGAATAACAATAATTACTACGTGTAAATACATAGCTTTATGTTGATTAAAAAAATAACCTACATTTGCATATGCAACCGAGCCCATGTTTAGGCTCCATTTTAATGTGTCTTGGGGGAAAATATATTTCGGAATAGAATTTTTTTAAAGAATATGTGATTAAAAAGTAGGAAAAGTTTTAAATTTACGTATAATATTATTTTATTGTAAAATGTATGGTTAAAAAAAAAGAGTGAAAAAAACATTTTAAATAAAATGGAGGCCAAACATGGGCTAAATATGATCTCAATTTTTATAATAAAATAATCGCATATCAATAGTACTTCTTAGGTAATGGAAAATGTGTTTAATATCATTCCAATATCTTTAGCCCATGTGTGCACACTTTTGCTCTAAAAATGCATTTTTTTATGTGATGAGAATACGTGGTTGAAAAAGAAGGAAGCATTGTTGATGTGATGAAAAATTTTATTTTATTGAAGAATATGTGGTTGAAAACTAGTAAAAGAATGAGAATGAAAAAATAATATAGCTAAAACAGGGGCTAAATTGACATAGAGTAATATCTCGTAAGGAAATTTATTAAAAAAAAAAACTATATCTAATCTAATATAATTTGCAAGATATGTTAATGTTTCGATTGCACTAAAATATGGAATTTCAAGATCCAGAACTTTTTCTCCATCTTCAATTTGACGAAATGAATCATTTTTCATATTAAGTTATCGAAGAACCACATGTGATACCTATAAATGTGCTTTATCTATATAAAATTATTTTAAGACATTTTTTGTTTATGAAGATTGATAAATAAATAATATTTTTTGGAAATGTTCAATCTACATCTCAAGACAATTTCGATTTTTTTTCAAATATTTCATTTCAAATTCATTTTTAAAATAATCTGCAGTTTTATTGAGTTATTTAGGAGTTCAATTATATTTAAATCATTAACATAAGCTGTCACAATTGTAAATTCAATAATTATTTTCTTTTTTTATTAAAATATATCGACAGATGTTGTCATATTATAACCCTCGTCAAAAAATATTGATTCTATATAATGATTTTGGTAATTTAATTGAGACATAGTTTTTCAGGCATGTATCATTTTATGTGGTTTACATCGTGGTTTGAAATTAGATCGAACTGCAAAAAAGTTCGACTTGGTTTGGAATTTTTTTTCAAATAGTTTATCGAAATGATTTGGCTTGATAATAGTTTCAAAACAACCTAAATCAAACTGTGTTTATCCTTGGATTCAATATTTGCAGACAACTGCTTACTTATTTGAATGGGGAGTGGAACGGAGAGGTGTTACTCTTGAACGTTTAATCTTTGTTGTGAAAGACAACAATCTTTAATCAATCAAAAACGAGATAAATGGATAACTGCTGACTACCATGTTATGAAAATTCAAGCACAACAAAATAGTTCTATACTTCCCATTTCATGAATTGAACCGTTGAACATGTAGTAAATGCCGAG